CAGTCATGGAAAGATTTTTCCAACCCAACTACCCTTCCCTGAAGAAGTGACAAATTAAACGTTAACTCTCTAGAAGGCCAAGAATGACGGCCTGAAATAAACAGGCCTGACCTATGTTTTCTTAGCTACTTTTCTTGGTGACGTTGCAGTCCTAGGTGAGGGCTACAGACAGGTTACCACCTCTTCAAAGAAAGCCTAGAATCCAAGGCCTGTATCTGAAAAATAATAAATACCGAAAGCAAGGGTACACTACCTTGCTTTGGGCATTTTTCTTTTTCCAAAAACATTCGTTGGGTATTTTAAGAATCCACATTTTGACACTGACTCACATGGCAAACAGGTGCTAACGTCTTTGGCCAAATTAGTATCTCTTCTGCCCAGGAAGTTGCTTAAAACTAGAGATTTTGCTGGAAGCAAGTCCCTGAAAATTGTAGACACAAGATACTGAAATACAAAGCTATTGTCCACACCCCCCATCTCTCTTCCTCTCCTTCCCTTTTCCTTCCTTCCTCCCTGCCTTCCTTCCTTCTTTCCCTCCCTCCCTTTTCCTTCCTTCCTCCCTCCCTTCCTTCTTTCCCTCCCTCCCTTTTCCTTCCTTCCTTCTCCCTGCCTTCCTTCCTTCCTCCCTTCCTTCCTTCCTTCTTTCCCTCCCTCCCTTTTCCTTCCTCCCTGCCTTCCTTCCTTCTTTCCCTCCCTCCATTTTCCTTCCTTCCTCCCTGCCTTCCTTCCGTCTTTCCCTCCCTCCCTTTTCCTTCCTTCCTCCCTCCCTTTTCCTTCTTTCCCTCCCTCCCTTTTCATTCCTTCCTTCCTCCCTGCCTTCCTTCCTTCTTTCCCTCCCTCCCTTTTCCTTCCTTCCTTCCTCCCTCCCTTCCTTCTTCCTTCTCTCCATCTCTCCTTCCATCTTTCCTTCCCTCCTTCCTTCCTTTTATTCTTCCTGCCTACTTCTTTCTCTGTCTCTTTCTGACTTCATTTTTTTTCTTTACAGGTACAAATGCAATTCTTTCTGTCATGACCTTGTCCCATCTAAGGGAAAAGGTCATGAAAAAGGAGGCAGGATATACCTCTCTGGCACTGCCATGGGGAACACAACGCCTCTTACAGCCATGGTGGGAGCGACCCACATCTCCACCTCCAACCTGGTCACTGACGTTCTCTAGGACCAAGTGTAACCCAGGATAGGGCGTCTCAAGTTTCTGATCCTTAGGATGAGTGTGGGAGCCTCACCAATCACAAGGACAAGGCTGAGCGTCAGATCGCCAGCCAGGGCATCCTGGGGCAGGTGACCGAATCTAAAATCTGGTTCACTTGGGCACCTGGAGCTGGGTGGTTTGCTGGGGGGACCTGTGTGGCTACATCGTCAGGGGAGCGCTTGGCACAGAACACCCGTGCCACCCACCAGCAGCGTCAGGAGGCTCATACCCATGCAGCCTGTCAGCTCTCAGGCATTCTGCTTCCCCTTCTCAAAACCATGTGGGAGACACAAGAAGAAAGAAGACAGAAACCAGGGGCACCTACCCTGTTCCCCTTCGTTCCCCTGGCTTCCTCCACCATGACGACCTCCTGTTCCTGCAAGACAAAAGCAACATCTGCTGACAATCTGCACCGGGAAGACGTGGGGTTAAACAGAAATGCACAACCAGGGTTGGGAAGAAGCTGGGGTCCTGCTTCTTATATTCCATGTGGTGTATGTTACACAGCTACAGAGTAGGGGTTCCTGTTACACTCTATGAAAGTGTGTGTTACACAGGTATAGAGTGGGGGTGCTGCCTATTACAATCTAGGGGCATGCATGTTACACAGCTGCAGAGCTGGGTCCCGCCTGTTACACGCTAGGGGTCAGTGAGAACTTGAGTTCCCAGGCATTATCACTTTATTTTCAGGGCTTTAGTATTCATATTCCTTAAATTACAGAAAACAACCTAATGAAACAAAGCTGAAAGCACCCTAGCTGTTTGCAAGAACACAGAGGTGAAGAGATGGGTGAGGAGTGGTGAGAAGGGTCCATTCTACAGGCCCTGTCCCTCAGGAAAGTGGGGCAGCTGTCAGGGCCCGGAACTCTTCTCCAAGCTGCCGAACCTCTATAGGGCAGCGTTTACTTCCCACAGCCTTGAAGCCACAGCAAACATGCAGAGTTCCCTCAGAGACGGCCAAACATTCCACTGTGAGTTCACGGAGGGCTGAGAGTTTAGACCCTGCAGTGATTCTGCAGAGAAGGTGGGCATCATGGGATGGAGAGAGAAAAGACACAGAAAACAAGGAAATTCTACCTTCTCCAGCAGGAACGCCATCCGCAAGATCGGCATCTGAAAAGCTTCCTAGGAAGGAAAGTAAAGAATCATCTGTGAACCCAGAACTCTTCCAAAAATCATCTGTCAACCCCGAACTCCTCCATGGTGATTCACATGTCAGAATAAAGGAAAAACTCATCAACACCAGCCTGTTCAGCAACATGGTGAAAACCTGTCTCTACTAAAAATACAAAAATTAGCCACTCATTTTTAGCTACTAAGAATAAAAAAATTAGGTGTTGTGGTGGGCACATGTAATCCCGGGTACTCAGGAGGCTGAGGCAGGAGAATCACTTGAACCCGAGAGATGGAGATTTCGGTGAGCAGAGATTGTGCCATTGCACTCCAGCCTGGGCAACAAGAGTGAAATTCAGTCTCAGAACAAAATAAAACATAGATAAAGTGGAGAAACATGAGCATAATATTGCATGCTGCAATATTTAACATCCATAAATAAATGAAGAAGGCTTATACAATAATGCCATGTCAGAATATAAGAATAGAAGGCAAAGGACACAGTGCACAAAAGAAGGATCCACAGCCAACTGATGCATTTTTTTTTTAATTTTAGAAGTAAAGTCATAAAACTAGGACAAAGTTGCTATCACATTTCACAGAGTTTGCAAAGCTTCCCTAGGTCATAACTAATACTGGAGACGGTGTGAAGACAGGCACATTTGCACACACCCCTGGCATCAGAATGAACTGGTAAAAGTCTGCAGCCAACTAACAACCAGGTCAGAAGCTCTAAAAATACTCACACATGGCCGGGTGCGGCGGCTCATGCCTGTAATCTCAGCGCTTTGGGAGGCTGACGTGGAAGGATCACTGGAGGCCAGGAGTTCAGACCAGCCTGGGTAACCTACAGAGACCCCCATCTCTACAAAAAACAAAAACCTAACTGATCACAGTGCTGTGTGCTTGTGGCTCCAGGTAACTGAAAGGCTGAGGCAGGGGGATCTTTTAGCCCAGGACTTTGAGGCTGTGGTACACTATTATATTTAATATGATCACAGCACTGTACTCTAGCCTGGATAACAGAGCGAGACCCCATCTCTCTCTGCTCTCTCTCTGTCTCTACACACACACACACACACACACACACACACACACACACACACACACACAAGATATATAAAATAGCCATCAAAATGTCAATAAGATATGGACATCATTAAAAATTAAATAAAGAAAAAAAAAACAAAAAAAAGTAAACTTTCAATAACTATTCAGCTAAAAAAAAAACCCAGAGTTATTCAAATAAGCTACTCTGAAAATGCTGTGATATGTTAGAAAAACTGACTGAAATATTTAAAAGCCAAAAGATTTAAAACACACTAGCTTCTCCATAAGGAATGTATATGCCAATACTTTTTTCTATATCTAGTCTATATTTAAACCGTTGGATTCAATGTTTAGAAGTTCCATAAGATGGTAACAGTAGCAAACTAACTAGGCCAGGCGCAGTGGCTCATACCTGTAATCCCAGCACTTTTGGGAGGCCAAGGTGGGCGGATCACTTGAGGTCAGGAGTTTGAGACCAGACTGCCCAACATGGCAAAATCCTTCTCTACTAAAAATACAAAAATTAGCTGGGTGTGGTAGCGTGCACCTGTCATTCCAGGTACTCTGGAGGCTGACTCAGGAAAATCACTTGAAACCAGTAGGTGGAGGTTGCAGTGAGACAAGATGGTGCCACTGCACTCCAGCCTGGGTGCCAGAGCAAGACTCTGCCTCAAAAAAAAAAAAAAAAAAAAAAAAAAAAAACGAGCAAACTAAAAGTAAAATCCAAACCGAACATATGTTTTTGAAAAGTACGTTTTCTACTATGTGAACAGGGGCCTTATGCTGTACAGGCAGTCAGTGATCAGCACGCACTCATCTGAAATCACCTCCTCTCAGCTAACATAAATATCACGGAATTCTGAAGAATATGGAGACATCCCACAGGGCCAGAAGCACTTACCAGTGGAAGCAGGCTGGTTGGGGTTTGGATTTGGCCTCGGTTTGGGTGGGTTCGGTGGTGCTGGGCCATCTGTTTGTGAGAGATGAGAGTTGCAATTCTAAGTGCCTTGCAGTAAAGAAAAAGAAAAAGAAAATCAGTTTATGCAGAGATGGTTCCCTGCACGGAAACGGGACCTTGTTCTTTGTCCCGGTGGGGATACCCATACACTGAGAGCCTCCTACCAATGTCCTCCTCTCAACTTTGAGCTACAGTTCTGAATTGAAAGTAGCAAAGACTTGAAACCAACTCAAATGCCCATCAATGACAGACTGGATAAAGACAATGTGGCACATAAACTCTGTGGAATACTATGCAGCCATCAAAAAGGATGAGTTCATGTCCTTTGCAGGGACATGGATGAATCTGGATACCATCATCCTCAGCAAACTGACACAAAAACAGAAAATCAAACACGGCATGTTTGCACTCATAGGTGGGAGTTGATCAATGAGAACACATGGACACAGGAGGGGATCATCACACACTGGGGCCTGTTGGGGGGTGGGGGGGTAGGGGAGGAATAGCAGTGTGTGGGTGGATTTTGGAGGGAGAGCAGGGGGTGGGTGAATCCGGGAGAGAGAGTGTTAGGAGAAATACCTAATGTAGCTGACAGTGGATGGATGCAGCAAACCATCACGGCACGTGTGTACCTGTGTAACAATCCTGCATGATCTGCACATGTACCCCAGAACTTAAAGTATAATTAAGAAAACAAATGAAAGGGGTGTCCGCACCAGCTACAGAATTTCTGGGGCCAAAATAAAAATGCAGGACTCATTTTTCAAGTTCTGTGAAGTATTCCAAGATGGCGGTCACAGAGCAGTGAACCAATATGGCGCCCACGCAAAACCGATATGGCACAACACATGCTCGTGAAGCCAGCGTGGCCAGGGTAGGAACATGTTGGAAATAGATGCTCAGTGCTGGAAAGAAAAATGAGCACTGAGACAAAGGGTCTTTCAGCAACGCAAGTTTTACTTACTCAACTGCAGGAAGGGGACCCCTATCTTGCCACGAGAGTACAATGAACCAAGGAAAACACACACATGTATCCCTGACGCATGTGGGGTCGTCCGTCCTGCCATGTCTGAGCTCCATGGGCTGGACCCAGGCCTCACCATCAAAAACTCGACTGGCTGACAACTTAAAACTTTTCTAAACAGGTGACAGCCACAGAGAGCTGGGACCTGCCTGTGAGCACGTCCATCACTGATATCTTGGTGAAAGTACAAGGACGTAGAATGTCCTACGTGCCTGTGAGCTCGGTGTGTCTAACAGCCACACAGGATGCGGCTTCACAGAGAGTTATGAGCACACTTATTCTTTAACAAGAAAGGGAACTTTAAAAGGGCACTTTTCTACTTCCCACAGCACATTTGTCTCATGTCCTTCTAAAGAGTGTAGGAGTCTTAAAATACATGCACACGTACGGGTTGTCAGCAAAATCCCAATGGCAACAGCAGGAACAAAGCGACACAGCTATTCCCTAGGTTTCCACTGTGAAAACCGGTTCCCGCTATAATCTAAATGGGATAATTCTCTGTGAAATGATCATAATTTGGTGACAATAAGCAGGTCAGCAACCAAGTAGATTAAAGGAGATACTCACTGTGTCCTCCACCACCAAGAGCATCACAAGTCGAAGTCTTCCCCTAAAAGACCAAAAAGAGGTGTTAACACTAAATTTCGGAGAGAAACCAGGAAGGAACCACCTCGTACACAGACACCACAGCTCAGCCAGGATCTCATCAGAAAAAGTGAATTCCTGACCCTTTTTGCATCACTAGTGTCTCAGATGAAAAGGGTAAAAAATAAAGACAGAGAAAGAGCTAGGAGAGCCGCTCTCAGAAGAGGGGCAAGGGAGAAAGGGGGGGGAGAGAGAGAGAGAGAGAGAGAGAGAGAGAGAGAGAGAGAGAGAGAGAGAGAGAGAGAGAGAGAGAATAATTTATAAAGCAATTATGTCATCTGGACGGGGTTGAAACTCCAGCTCTGCCTGCACATGATTTTCTCCTGTTGACTCCCCAACCTACCATCCTCTCCTCCCAGGTCCCGAACACCTTTCGAAAGACAGACCCTAAGAGATGGGGACAACATGACTGTGATCAGATTTAGGCTAGACGGTGTCTGGAATGTGCCTCTAGCAACCCACGTGGGCACCACAACAGACATGAGAATTTGCCATGGCTTCAGATCTTGTCTGCTCGTATGAAGAACGATTTTGAAAACCCAACCGAGATTGAGAATGCTTGCTGGCAATCCACCTAACGGCATGTACTGAGCCATGCTGAGGCACATATGGGAATGTATGCTCCCTTCCTCAAGGAAACCATGATCATGCAAATTCAGACGCTCAAAACTCCTTATACCGTGTTGTCTGGATTATTGCATACTTCAAGGATCTGGAGGCCTGGGGGCCCTTTGCTCACGAGTTGACACTCTAGACAGAAAGTCCAATGATCCACTGGCACTATTAATATTTTATGTGAGAAATCAGAAGTGCTAAGACAAGACAGTGATGCCATAGGTTTTGGCATCATTTTACTCTGTTTTTTTTTTTTTTTTCTTTGTTTTGAGATAGAGTTTCGCTCTGTCGCCCAGGCTGGAGTGCAGTGGTGCAATCTCGGCTCACTGCAACCTCTGCCTCCCAGGTTGAAGTGATTCTCCTGCCTCAGCCTCCTGAGCAGCTGGGATCACAGGTGTGTGCCACCATGCCCAGCTAATTTTTGTATTTTTAGTACAGACAGGGTTTCACTATGTTGGTCAGGCTGGTCTTGAACTCCTGATCTCGTGATCTGCCCACCTCGGCCTCCCAAAGCGCTGCGATTACAGGCATAAGGCACCGCGCCTGGCCAACTGTTACTCTGTTTTTCCCAATGGGCTTTAGCCTTGGGCAATTCCATCATTTGTCCCTTGTTTCTGAGTTTAGTTTGAAAGAACAGCCTTAAGAACAAGTTAGGTGTGTGCCCACAGGTTGAGAGATGAGTCCACTTCTTGGTCATTATGTGGGGGTCTCAGCACCAAATTCTTCATCTCCCAAGAAGTGGAATCTGAAGACAGAGGCTAGCTGCAGTGTGTCACGCCTATAATTGCAGCACTTTGGGAGGCTGAGGCGGCTGGATCACCTGAACACAGGAGTTTGAGACCAGCCTGACTAACATAGTGAAACCTCGTCTCAACTAAAAATACAATGATCAGCTGGGCGTGGTGGCTGGTGTGTGTAGTCCCAGCTACTCAGCGGCTGAGGCAGGAGAATCAGTCGCTTGAACCGGGCAGGGGGTGGTTGCAGTGAGCCAAGATGGCATCATTGCACTCAGGCCTAGGAGACAAGAGTGAGACTCCGTCTCAAAAATAAAAAAAAACAAAACTAAAGACAGAGTCACTGACACCCTTCGAATAAAAGCACCCAGAGATGGTGCCCAAATGACCCCAAAAACATTTTGCATCAGCAACCATTCTCTTACTGGAATCACTGCATGAAATGCCACCACAACACAATTCCAATCTTAACCAGGCGGCATCCGGACCACTCCAATCAGTCATGCCTTTCTGGTTGCCTAAGTCCCGCCCTACTGTCAGAGAAAACGGTGTGTTCTTTTTCTTTGCACACTAGGAGCACAGCTTTCTTACCAGCACTGGGCTTGGGGGTAGGTGTGGCTTTCTTGTCTTCATTGTCTAAAGAGAGAAGACATTTCGGTCAGTAAAAGTTGCAGATGGGAAAACGAGCGCCAGCTCTTCTGTGGTGAAGGATGTTTCATTTTCTTGGAAATAGCTGGAGAATGTGTTTAGGGTTGTTTTTTCTCACCAGCCCCCGCTGGGCTGAGGTTTACAGGAGGACTATTGAGACCAGAAGACAGGCACAGAGGCTGCCGCCGGCCATGGCTTCCAGAGAGACAAGGAGCCTCAACGGTGAATGGGAGTGTGAGTGAGATGTAAGCCACGAAGGCAGAAGAATGAAGAACTTTGCAGAAAAACTGCCCTTTCAGACCCCGAGATGTGCACATAAGAAGGAGACACTGGATTCACAGCGGAAAGCCTGTTCACATTTGTGGGAAGCAGAAAAGTTCCTTTTTAAAGTTTCCTTTCTTATTAAAGAATAACTGTGCTAATAACTCTCTGTGAAGCCCCATCCTATGTGGCTGTTAGACACACCGTGCTCACAGGCACGTAGTACATTCTATGTCCTTGTACTTTCACCAAGATATCAGTGCTGGACGTGCTCACAGCCGGGTCCCAGCTCTCCGTGGCTTTCACCTGTTTAGAAGATTTTAAGTTGTCAGCCAGTTTTACTTTAGATGGTGAGGTCTGGCTCTGGCCCACGGAGATCAGACACAGCAGGAAGGACGACCCCACATGCATCAGGGATAAATGTGTGTGTTTTCCTTTGTTCATTGTACTCTCATGGCACGATGGCTAGTGAGCGTCCCCTCCCTGCAGCCCGGGAATTGAAAACTGCATTTCTGAGAGATCCTTTGTGTCAGTGCTGATTTTATTTTGCAGCACCGAGCATCTATTTCCAACACATTTCTTATAGAAGACACACACTGTTGGCTCCGTCAGACCTCAGCCCAGGCGTCCCCCTCTGAGAATGCAAGTCAGTCAGGAGGAGGTCAAAAGAGCAAGGGCGCCTCCAGGTGTCCCAGTGGCCAAGAAAGGGTAGGCGGTCAGGAAAGATGATCCCCATCAGCATGGTTTCTGCTCAAACCATCTGCATTGCACCGCAGGATCTAAGATTAAAAAGCCGGCCAGGCGCGCTGGCTCATGTCTGCCATCCTCTCACGCCTCGGCACTTTGGGAGGCTGAGGGGGGAGGACTGCTGGAGCACAGATGGTGGAGGCTGTAGGGAGCCAAGATCCCACCACTGCGCTCCAACCTGAGCAACACAGCGAGAACCTGTCCCCCCAAAAAAAGAAAAGGAAAAAAAAAAAGTAAAACGTGAAAAAGTAAAGAGGGCGCGGTCCTGGGTTGAAGCTCATTCCTCCCTAATCCACATTCACCCTAAAGCTCCATATGTGATCTTACTTGGAAAGAGGGTGCTTGCAGTTGTGATTAGTTAAGATGGTTATAGGAGATTAGGACAGGTCCTAGTGACTGATGTCCTAAGAAGAAGGAAATTTGAGTCGGGTGCGGTGGCTCACGTCTGTCATCTCAGCACTTTGGGAGGCCCAGGAGGGCGGATCACCTGCGGTCAGGAATTCGAGACCACCCTGACCAACATGGAGAAACTGTCTCTACTAAAAATACAAAAATTAGCCAGGCATGGTTGTGCATGCCTGTAATGCCAGCTACTAGGGAGCATTGAGGCAGGAGAATCGCTTCAACCTGGGAGGAGGAGGTTGCAGTGAGCTGAGATGGCCCCACTGCACTCCAGCCTGGGCGACAAGAGTGAAACTCCATCTCAGCCAAAAAAAAAAAAGGAAGGCGTAGACCCATGAAGAGAGCAAATACTGATTTCGAGAGAGAGGAATACAAGACTGGACGCCCCTCTCTCTCCTGGGGACCTCCCCCTGCTTACCTCCTCTAGCCCCTTCCCCAGGTGACTGGCAAGTCTGCTCAGCATTTGACCACCTCAGGACTATGAATTATTCCACCAGGGTGGTCCACAGATGTTAACGAGGGCGTCTTGCTTTTCTTCCTCATATAAGACGATAGTTTTTATCCTATGGCAGGTTGACACACACAGGCGGGTCTCCTTCCCCACACTCTGTCCTATGGTGCTTCACAGAGAGTGTGTGTTTTACAAACGGAAGCTTTGCAGCCATCCTGCATCAAGCCAGACCCACGGCATCCAACGACAGGCGCCCACTTCGTCTCTATATCTGCAGTTTTTAAAAATAAGGTATTTCTTTATCTTTTCTTTTTTTTTTAGACAGAGTCTCACTCTGTAGCCCATGCTGGAGTGTAGTGGCATGATCTCAGCTCACTGCAACCTCCGTCTCCTGGGTTCGAGCAACTCTCTGCCTCAGCCTCCCAAAGTGCTGGGATGACAGGTGTGAGCCACCGCGCCTGGCTTAATGAGGTATTTTCAATTAAAATATACTGACTTAGAAGTAATGCTGGCCAGGTGTGGAGGCTCACGCCTGTCATCACAGCACTTTGGGAGGTTGAGGCAGGTGGATAACAAGGTCAGGAGCTCGAGACCAGCCTGGCCAACATGGTGAAACCCCATCTCTACTAAAAGTACAAAAATCAGCGGGGCGTGGTGGCGCACCTGTAATCCCAGTTACTCGGGAGGCTGAGGCAGGAGAATCACTTGACACCAGGAGGCAGAGGTTGCAGTGAGCCTCAGATAGCACCACTGCACTCTAGCCTGGGTGACAGAGCAAGGCTGTGTCTCAAAAAAAAAAAAAAAAAAAAACAAACAAAAAGATATAATGCTGCTTCATACTTAATAGAGTGCAGTTGAGAGTAAGCATAACATATGAACTGGGAAGAGAAAAATTGCTATGATTCCGTTACTGTGGAGGTCTGGGACTGAGCCAGGAACATATGGGGTGTGCCTGTATTTACAACGTTAATATCAAATAATGATGGGATTTTAAAAAATGATGTTACTCACCACTGAGGGCATCAGATGAATCAAAATCATAATCTGAAAGAGAAAAAACGAGTCAGATACAAGGAAGATGAAAGTGCATTCGAAAATTAGAGTGATAAGAAATGATATATGATTTTGTGACTTTTTGTGATATGTAAAGCAGCAACTTTAAAAATTTACAATGTGCTATGATTTCTCTTCTCATTCTAAACATTCACGTTCACACCTAAAGGTAAGAATATGTTAGCCCAGGTTTTAAAGAAATTACGACCTTCGGGCTCAGCGGAAATTAAAACAGTGGAAAACGTGATCATTTGGTGTGAGTAGTATTCCGGAAAGGCAGCGCCTCTGAAATAGACGAATAACAATTTTGAATGTGTACTGAAAAGAACATGGGGAACAAAATTCTCCCTTTTTAGTTGACAATTTTCCTGCCATTACAAACCAAAATATAGTAGAAACACCAGACAACCCAGAAAGACGCACCATTATGCATTAAACAAAATCTCATGGAATCCCTCAGAATGAGAACTGGGAGGGTGGGTGGACTGGCAGCTAAGTGGATGGATGGGTGGGTGGTTGGGTGGATGGATGAATGCATGGATGGATGCATGGGTGGCTGAGTGGATAGATTAATAAGTGGATGGTTGGGTGGATAGTGGGGTGGATGGACAGGTACTTAGGTGGATGAGTGAGAGGATGTACAGTGAGGGGATGGATGGAGGTACGGGTGGATAGGTGGATGCATGAGTACGTGAGTAAGCAGGTAGGTGGATGGATAGATAGGTGGATGGATGGATAGGTGGATAGACAGATAGGTGGATGGATAGATGATGAATGGATAGACAGGTAGATGGGTGGGTGGATACGATGGATAGATGAATGGATGGATGGACAGGCAGATAGGTGGATGGATATGGATGAACAGGTGGATGGATGGATAGATAGGTGGATTAATAGATAGCTAGGTGGATGGATGGATGGATAGACAGGCAGATGGATGTATGGATGGATGGATAGATAGGTGGATGGATGGGTGGATGGATGGATGGATGGATGAATGGATGGATGAATACATGGATGGATGGATGGATGGATAAATGGATAAATAGGTGGATGGATGGATGGATGGATGAATGAATGAATGGATGGACAGATGCATGAATAAATGGATAGATGGATAGATAGGTGGATGGATGTATGGATAGACAGATGGGTGGATGGATGGATGAACGGATGAATGGATGCATGAGTGGGTGAGTAGATGGATTTAATGAGTAGGTGGATGGTTGGGTGGATAGCTCGGTGGATGGACGGGTAGTTAGATGGATGAGTGGGAGGATGTACAGTGAGGGGATGGATGGAGGTACGGGTGGATAGGAGGATGGATGAGTAGGTGAGTAAGTAGGTAGGTGGATGGATGGATAGATGGATGGATGGACAGATAGGTAGATGGGTGGGTGGATAGGTAGATAGATGGATGGAGACAGGTAGATGGGTAGATGGATAAGTAGGTGGATGGATAGATGGCTAGATAGGTGGATGGATGGAGGGATGGATGGATGGATGGATGGATGGATGGATGGATGGATAAAGAGGTGGATGGGTGGATGGATGCATGGATGCATGGGTGGGTGAGTGGATAGAATAATGAGTAGGTGGATGGTTAAGTGGATAGCTGGGTGGATGGACAGATGGATGAGTGGGAGGATATACAGTGAGGGGGTGGATGGAGGTACGGGTGGATAGGAGGATGGATGAGTAGGTAAGTAGGTAGGTGAATGGATGGATGGATGGATAGATAGGTAGATGGGTGGGTGGATAGGTAGATAGATGGATGGAGACAGGTAGATTGGTGGATAGATAGGTGGATGGATGGGAGGATGGATGGATGGATGGATGGGTGGATGGGTGGATGGGTGGATGGATAGATAGGTGGATGGATGGATGGATGGATGGATGGATGGATGGATGGATGGATGCAATCATGGATGTAAGCTCCCGTTTCTATATTTTATTAAAACAATTTCAACACTACTTCAACGTGGCTGTCTTCGACATGTGAAGAAAAGCCAAATTTGGGAAATTTTGGAAAAGTCGACTCTGACTGTTCAGTCAACTGGAGGAAGAGTTAGGACAATCGTCAACATCCATCCACCATCCCACTCCTCAGCACCAAAGGCAGACAACATCTGTCAAGTGTCAGGAAGTAGCAGGTAGTGGGTGGTGAGGGCTCCACAAACCACCCCCGGGGGGTCCCATGAACACCAGGTTGTGTCCAGTTCCACAGCAGGTGCACATGAGCAGTCTAAGCTTCTGTGTGCATAAATGGAGTGTGCCTGTATAGTCAGAGGGGTGTGCGTCTTTGTGTATGTGTGTGTGTGTGTGCACGCATGTATATTTGGGCATCTGCAGTGCACGCATTTGTGAGTTTTGTGTGCATGCACGGGAGTGTAGGTGGGTCCTGTGTATGTATATGTTTATGTGGTTTTGTGTGTGCATATATGCGGTGCATGTATGTGTGGGTTTGTGTATGTGCACATGTGCAGATGTGTTTTGTGTACATGTACAGGTGTATTTTGTGGGTTTCTGTGTGCATATGTGTGTAGTATATTGGTGTGTTTGTGTGCATAGGTGTCAGTGCATGTTCATGTGGGTTTGTGTGTGCATATGTAGGTGTGCATAGTGTGTAGGTGTGTTTCTATGTTCCTATGGATAGACGCATGTATGTGTGGTTGTGTATTGCCTAGGTGTAGGTGTTATGTGTGCCTATGTGTAGATGCATGTATGCGTGGGTTTGTGTGTGTGTATGTGTGTGTGCATAGTGTGTATATGTGTTTTTCATGTGCAGGTATGCAGTGGCATGTATGTGTATGTGCATGTGTCACTGTGTGTATAGGTTTGGGTGTGTTTGTTTGTGCATGTGTAGGTGTGTGTATTGTGGGTGTGTGCATGTGTAAATGTGTATAGTGTGCAGATGTTTCCATCTGTGCACATGTGTAGGTGCATGTGTGCATTTTGTGTGTGCACATGCATCAGTGTGTGCACATGCGTCACTGTGTGTGCACGTTTGGGTTTGTGTGTGCATGTGTAGTTGTGTATAGAGTGCAGTTGTGTTTCTTTCTGTGCATGTGTGTAGGTGCATGTTTTGTGTGTGTGCACATGTGTAGTTGTGTGTGTATGGGTTTGTATGTGCATGGATAGGTGTGTTTTGAATATGTGCGTATGTGTAGCTGTGTCCATGTGTCCTTGCATGCTTGTGTGTGTGTCTGTGTGTACTCATGGCTGCGTGTGTGCTTCCATGTGTATCAACATGAATAGAAAGTAGAGGAAACCCTCAGATCAGCCCGTGGCCCCAAGCCAGCTATCAGAGAGGAGTCCTTTCCACAACCCCAGAGCTTCCAAACAGCTGTTTCTACCACAGAATGCTTGCCAGACACAACAAACACAAATACAGCTCCTCTGCCAGCTCATGGCAGGTCTTTAGACAGCAGCAAGGGGGGATCCCACTGATCCTCAGTAAAATGTAAGGCAGGCACACAGACACGTATATACATCCATTCATGTTCATATGTTTACACAGAAATCTTTAACTGTCCTTTTCAAAGATGTATTATCTTTTTCTTTATTTATATCTTACCTCACGTATTTATTCGTGGTACAAGCACTTCAAATCTACTGTCTTAGCCATTTTCAAGCATACTACGCATTCTTTCTTTATTATTATACAGTTCTGGGGTATGCGTGTAGAAAGTGTGGGTTTGTTACACAGGTATACATGTGCCACAGTGGTTTGCTGCATCCATCACCCCTTCATCTACATTAGGTATTTCTCCTAATGTTAGCCCTCCCTAATCCCTCCACCCCCTGCTGGCCCTCCCCTAGCCCCCCACCCCACAACAGGCCCTGGTGTGTGATGTTCCCCTCCCTGTGTCCAAGTATTGTTTTACAGCCACTTATGAGTGAGGACATGCAGTATTTGGTTTTCTGTTCTTGTGTCAGTTGCTGAGAATGATGGTTTCCAGCTTCATCCATCTCCTTGCAAAGGACACAAACTCATCCATTTTTATGGCTGCATAGTATTCCATGGTGTCTTCCATGGAATTTCTTCCTCCGGTGTATCATTGATGGGCATTTGAACTGGTTCCAGGTCTTTGCTATTGTGAACCGTGCCGCAATGAACGTACGTGTGCATGTGTCTTTACAGTTGAATGTTAGATAACAAACAACTCCATCAAAAAGTGGGCAAAGTGTATGAACAGACACTTCTCAAAGGAAGACATATGTGAGGCCAACAAACATAAGAAAGAGAGGTCATCATCACTGGTCATCAGAGAAATGCAAATCAAAACCACAGTGAGATACCATCTCACGCCAGTTAGAATGGCGATCATTACAAAATCTGGGGACAACCGATGCTGGAGAGGATGTGGAGAAACAGAAACACTTTTACACTGCTGGTGGGAGTGTAAATTAGTTCAACCTTTGTGGAAGACAGTGTGACGCTTCCTCAAGGACCTGGAAATAGAAATTCCATTTGACCCAGCAATCCCATGACTGGGTATATACCCAAAGGACTATAAAGCATACGGTGCATTCTTACTAACCACAGTCTCTGTGAGTACAATAGATTCCTTGAACTGGTCTCTTCCTCTCTGTTGGAAACACTGTATCCTTTAATTAAACATCACTTCCCCGCTTCTCCCCCAGCCCCTTGGTAACCACCATGCCACTCTGCTCCTATGAGTTGGGCGTTTTTAGATTACATGTGAGTGTGTTTCGGTGGTAGGGTGTTAGCGTTTCTGCGCCTGGCTTACTTCACTAAACAGCATCACCTCTGGTTCTATCTACATTGTTGCAAATGGTAGGACCTCCTTCTTTTTCAAGGCTGAATACTATTCCACTGTGCCTATACCCCGTTTTCTTTCTTCATTTAATAGCTTTATGGGGCACAGTTTACCTACCATTAAATGCACTCGTTCTAGGTGTGTAAATTCCTGACTTTTAGAGAATGGGCAGAGTTGATGGCCCCGTTTCCTTCATGCGTTCTGCCC